TTTTAAATTTTGCTTTGCAAATGTCACATTCAAGCGAATAGATATCCGAGTGTGTCATTAAATGTGTCTGTAATTGTCCCTTGGTTTTAAATTCGGCATCGCATATGTTGCATTTGAAATTCTTCCCTTCCGAGTGTGTTAGATTGTGATTCTTTAGATGGTCTTTCCGTTTGAATTTTGCATTGCAAGTATCGCATCCAAAAGGATAAATATCTGAGTGTGTTGAAATGTGCTTATTTAAAGTACCTTTCCGTTTAAATTTTGATTTGCATGTGTCACATTCGAAAGGATAAATATCAGAATGTGTTTGTTCGTGCCTCTTCAAATCGCCTTTCCGTTTAAATTTTGATTTGCATGTATCACATTCAAAAAGATAAATATCAGAATGTCTCAGTTTGTGTCTCTTCAAATGGTTTTTTTCTTTAAATTTTGCTTTGCAAATGTTACATGCAAAAGGATAAATATCCAGGTGTATTAATATGTGACGCTGTAACTCGTTTTTTTGTTTAAATTTCGCATTGCAAGTGTAACATTCCAAATTCCTAATAACATTTTGTCTTGATAAATTGATTCCTTTATTTGGATCTATTAATTCAATATCTGATACTTCCATTTCGTTTTTAATGTCATCCTCTAGATATTCATTTATCACAAACCTGAAAAAAAAAACGTTTTTTAGATTCATAGTTAAGTTAGATTTTGAAATTATACGAGGTAGGTGAGATTAAAATTCGAGAAATTAAATCACATGGAAAATTGTGGAAGAATTAGTTTATTACTGATACAAATATCTTTTTTCCCAAATGTAGTCATCATAAGGCCTTATTTTCAAGCCGAATATATTTATACAAGATTGAATTCAGTTTTTTTAAACGCGTGGGGGATGGGCTACAATGAGACATAGACTAGTGCAGTTACCTCCTAAAAAGGCAAAAAACGTAAAAAATTGATAACAACATAAAACTGTTGAAAAGGAAAGAAAAAAGATAGCGGTAACAAAGGAAAAAATGAATTAAAGTCAATCTGAGTTTCGAGAGTGACGTGGGGTGAACTTTTAGGGGTAGGAAATGGTTTTTCAAAGTTTCCAGCGGAATTGAATCTCCCATCGGAAAAAGTTAAATAAAAAAGTTGTAGGTGATAAAAAGGTCTACATTTTTTGTATAAATCATTTTTCCACATTACCTAAAATTTCCAGAGAAAAACCGAAAAACTGGTTTCTCGTTTCTAATTTCTATCTTCCACAAATAATTTGGTGAAAACTAACCTTTGTATACTTCAAACACGCTGTAATGTTTTCAATTCAAAATATTCATTTCTACATTTTATTTGAATTTTAAACCTCAAAAGAGGCCTCACTTTCAGCCGAAAATTTTCATGTCCTGGAAAAAGTTTTTAGGAAAAACACAGTGGTCTGTTTTTTCGTTGAAACGTCTACTTTAAGATGGTGTAGAGAAAAATAAACATTACTATGGAAAAATTTGGTCATGGTTCTGGTGTTTTTATAGTGCGTGAATTAATATCGATCGGACCCGAAAAATAGAATATAGATTAAGTATTAAGTTAGAATTTGTTTGATGCATTAATGTGTTGATTGTTTAGAAAATATTTGTGTAATTTGGATATTATATTAAAGTTATATTAGAGAAATTATTATTAAATAAATGTGTTGAACTACTGTATTTCGAATGTGAGTTAATTACTAATCTGGAGTACCACAAATACGTAGAGTGAATAGATAAATTAGAATTTACAAACTTTCATAAACCATCCATTTCATTCATATAAACACCAAACTACAGTGCTTTAAAGCTACAAATAAACTCCTCAACCAAAAATAAATGAAAGAACACGTAAGTATCTGTACTTTTTTTTATTTACAAAACTTACATTGAAACCGTTATCAATTTGTTCGGATTGCAAAATTTAACAAAGCAAGCATTAAATTTAAAGTTATACTCAGGGCCCCCGCTACCATAAGCGCAAAGGCGTGCGGCGCACGCGGGCGGCATAGCCAAGGGGTGGCAAATCGCACGAGAAAAGAATATATAAAAAAAAAATAATTTACAATTTATTCAATATTTAGTAATTAATTTTTTTTCCTAAAGTGTTTCAATTATTTTCCTTTTTATTCAAAGGCCGAGCACCTGATGATTCTCGAAACCCCCAGGGTCTTTATTCTTGAAACAGGGTAGCAGCGTTTCCAAGAGAACAAGTGTTCTGTCTTTCTCAATGCAGTGGCGTATTTACGGGGGGCTCAGGGGGCCCGGGCCCCCCCAGAAATGTATTTTTAATTTTTAGCAACTGAATAAGCACATTAACAAACCACAAACCACTTGGTCACCGTCATTGAAATATTTTTCACACCAATAACCAGGTTCTCGGTGCATGGGTGATGTCGAACGCACTCCAAAATAAAACAGAGACAGGAATGTCTGTTGAAAGAAAGGGAATAGGAGTGAGAGAGAGACAGATGGGGATCAATCGGATCAATATATTCGATCCGTCACATTGATGTCGTCACTTCTGTAGGACATTTTCGTTTCGATTTTTCATTTCACTACTCCCGCTAAAGAAAGATAATTAATTTTTTCTAAGCGCTTAGTGGATATCCTATATTGCTTCAAGTTTTTAGTATGGTTTACCTAGGAATCTCCACTAAAGATCATCAAAAACTAAATTTCTCATCTTAGAAATAGGAAAAGTATGTTACGATAATGGACAAAATTGGAATACTAGTTCTTTTTGGTAAAAGCCATGTCACATTTTTTTCCAATATTTATATTTTTTGAAAAATGCTGTGAAGAATTCGTAAATTTGGGTCAGAATTTCTATGTAACTTATTGCCCTTTTTCTAAAAGCCTTTTATGTAAAACAAAAACAGTGCTCTATACTAAATTCACAACTTTTTTTAAGACACTCCGTAGAAAAAGTATTGTTCCTACGACTTGCGCAAAGTGTCTTTCCCGCACTTAAAGCTTATCCGAACTCCGCTCCCCGTCGTTCGTCTAGCTGCTTTTTCGTGCGGGAAAGTATCACTTTGCGCACTTGTCAGGAAACTAATTATCATTTGTTTTTATTGTTACGTTGCCCCCCCCCCCCCCCCCCAGATGAAAATCATAAATACGCCACTGTCTCAATGATATGTAAATGATAAGTAACAAAGACGGAACACTCGTTCTCCTGGAAATGCTGCTCCACTGTTTCAAGAATAAGGACCCTGGACCCTGCGCTCTTCTAAGGACGGGAACAGGTGCCCTGTCCTACTCAGTTCCATGTAAAATCTTATATGAGTCAGACAGAGACTGAGAATTAATAGAGCCCTGTCCTGCGCCCTCGTGCGATCGTGCGAGCGAGAGTCAGGCTGCAGGTCGCCTCTTAGCTCCGTACAGCTAATGTGCCAATTTTCCTGTCAAATTTTCCAGTTGGTTCTTGCAAAATTACTCAGGACCATTATTATTTATGCAGTTATGAAAAAACATGACAACCCACGCGATTGACTCGCTGTCACTCCAAAAAATCTTGCGCTTTTTCAATCGCCCACACTAAGGGCAGGGGCATCGCGTCGGGGGAAGGGGGGGGGGGGGTATAGGGGGTTATTACCCTTCCTTCCAGAATCGAATAATCAAGAGAAAAATAACAAAGGAAATAATTGTTCTGGAAAAGGGAATGACCTTGATATTTGCGGCGCGTTTCCTCCCCCCCCCCATGACTGCTTGTCTCGCTACGCCGCTGCCTAAGGGGCGCCAAAATATGAAATCGCACGCGGGCGGCTTCATGTCTGGCGAGGGCCCTGGTTATACTTATCTAACTGAATGAGTCACTGAATGTCGTTTCAAACTATTTCTAGCTTTAAATTTGGCGTTGCATATGTTGCATTTGAAATTCCTCTCCTCCGAATGTGTTAATGTGTGGATTTTCAAATTACCCTTTTGTTCAAATTTTGCATTGCAAGTGTCACATTCGAATGGATAAATATCCGAGTGTGTTAAAATGTGCCTTCTCAAATTACCTTTCTGTTTAAATTTTGCATTGCATATTTTGCATTTAAAATTCATCTTGTCCAAGTGTGTTGATATGTGCCTTTTCAAATAGCTTTTTCTTTTGAATTTTGCATTACAAATGTCACATTCAAATGGATAAATATCCGAATGGGTTGAAATATGACTTTTCAAAGTACCTTTTTGTTTAAATTTTGCTCTGCAAGTGTTACATTCAAAAGGAAACATATCCGAATGTATTAATTGATGATTCTTCAAATTATGTTTCAGTTTAAATTTTGCTTTGCAAGTGTCACATTCAAAAGAATAAATATCCGAATGTATTAATTTGTGATTCTTCAAATCGCCTTTTCGTATAAATTTTGCTTTGCAAGTATCACATTCGAATGGATAAATATCCGAATGTTTTTGTTTGTGAATTTCCAAATCGAATTTTTGTTTAAAAAAAATTAATACAGGTTTTGTATGTCATCCCTACTCACTATTTTTATTCTTTCGCTCCCTTCAATTTTCCTTACAAACACATTTCCTCCTCTAGCCCATACAAACTTGAAACCTCTTTGCCTCAGTGCCCTCGCCTCTTTTATTTGGATCTATCAGTTCAATGTCTGATACTTCTATTTCATTTTTAATGTTATCTTCGTTTGGGTTAGTTTGGGTTGGCAACGTTGCGCTGTGTTTTCGAATTGCTCCTCAAAAAATATCGGATTGTCTCAATATATTTCGTGTTTTAAAAATATATGATTACAAAATCGGCAAACAAAGCACCCATAAGCATCTGGTGAGTCGTTAAATCTCGAATTTATATCACATGAAACTGATTTTCAACCGTTTTGCTTTGTGCACTCAAAAAAATTACGAACTTTGGACCCAGAATCTATCATCGACGAGCCGCTGATAAGCGGCTCCCAGACAGATATCGATTAATAACGATCGTGCGGTGTTGCCGGTGTGCTAGGGGTTTCGTTAAAAATCATCGCCAAAGTCATAAAATCATTAAAAATGGCAGGTGGAAGTGGAAAAGCACAAACAACTTGTGGAAAATGCGGGAAAAACATCCCCAAGTCACAGTATTCCAAACAGTGTGACAAATGTAAACACTGGTTTCACCTAATATCATGTACTAATCTAAATGAAGTAGATGTTGAAGTAATGAAGAAACTGCAAAATAAATGGTTTTGTGAATCCTGCAAAAGTCGTGTGGAAAATGAAGCCAGAAAATCGTTGACTGCAAGTCATAGTCAACAGAATACCCCCACAGCGGAGGCCTCGGACGAGTATAATATGTCGTCGATGACAGAAATTCTACAGCAACTTAAAGAGCTAAATCAGGAAGTCCGTGATCTGAGAAATGATGTGAAATTTTACGCTGATAAGTATGATGAGCAATTGGCAATAAATACATCTTTGTCTGAGAAAATTCAAAATATGAAGAGAGATTTTAAGAAAATTAATATAGAGCTCGTAAATCTTAAAGGAAAATCCAATTTGGCAGAAAAGGAAAACAGGAAAAACAATGTAGTCATCCTGGGATTAAAAAATACGGTGAATGATTGTAAAACCAAACCTAAGGAAGTCATCGACAAGGCGAGTAAAGTACTAAATTTCATCGAACCAGATCTGGCACTGAATAATGTTAAAATAAAAATAGCAAATAACACCAAAGAAAACTCTCCAATAATTGTTTCTTTCGAAAGTTTTGAAGAAAAACTAACTTTTTTGGCAAGAAGAAGAGAGAAAGGAAGAATAACATCTGATAAATGTGAATTGAGTGGAAAGGACCCTATTTTCATTAACGAAGACATGGACAGGGACCAGAGAGAGCTCTTCAAAGAGGCGAGGGCACTGAGGCAAAGAGGTTTCAAGTTTGTATGGGCTAGAGGAGGAAATGTGTTTGTAAGGAAAATTGAAGGGAGCGAAAGAATAAAAATAGTGAGTAGGGATGACATACAAAACCTGTATTAATTTTTGCTTGCTTTAGTTTTGTAAATAGATTTGCTGGGAAAACTATTTATTTATTTTTTATGAGCAATACTGTAAATAATAATTGCCTATCATCCAATAACTTAAATCATAATGATCTCTTTGATGACTACCAGGTTACCGAGGCTCAGGTGTGTAATTGTTGTGATGATGTAAAAATACCGGCTAACCTGGACTGTCTTAATTTAATACATTTTAATATTTCAAGTATTAACGCCCATTTTGAAGAACTTATAGCTTATCTTGATTCAAGCAAATTGCAGTTTGATGTGATAATACTATCTGAAACCCATAGAGTACATAACTCGAATAATTTTAGGTTAGATTATTTTGAGGTCTTCCATAATGAAAGTCAAATCAACAAGTGTGATGGAACCATAGTATATGTTAAAACCTCACTATTGTCTAAGGCTGATATAATAACGGTTAATACTTCTAATTTCCTAAGAGTCTCACTTACTAAAAACAATACCAAAATAGGACTGATTGCTATATATAATTCGCCTAGTTCCAGCAGGGCAGAGTTTGTCAATAACATTAAGCTTTTGTTTGAGATGAGTTTCCAAAGACATTTGATCGAGATATTTTGTGGAGACACAAATATTAATATCATGGAGAGAAAATCAACTCAATACTCCACAGAATACCTAAATTACCTAAATCATATGGGGTATATAAACCAAATTAATGATTTCACGAGGGTAGTCGGTAATGCAAAAAGTTGCATAGACCATTTTTTTCTAAAAAATAGTGTCAAAGATACAGTCATTGCTAAACCATTTATTATCACAAGCGGCTTAACAGATCACTTTCCTGTTTTGCTGAGCTTGCAATTTTTAGAAAAAAAGAATGAGTTAACTAACTCTCAACCAAATATAACTCGAAAAATTATTAACTTTCAAGAAATATCAAACCAAATTAACAATTTGAACTGGACCGACTTACTAAATTGTGGCGACCCAAACATTTGCATGAATATTTTCCTCAATAAACTAAGTACTATAATTGATAAGGCTACTACAAAAATAATAAAAACTAGTCGCAAAAAAAAAGAATGGATTACTCTTGGGATCATAAACTCGATAAAAACTCGTGATAAATTAAAAAAAGAAGCTCTTAGAAATCCTTTAAATTTGCAGATACAAGAACGTTTCAAACTATATAGAAATATGCTAACTAGGTCAATCAAAAGAGCAAAATTTTCATTCTATAAAAACAAATTAAATAATAACCTTAATAATGTCAAAAAAATTTGGGAAACTGTAAGGGAGGCAGCAAATGAAACTCTGGATAAAAATATAAATATAAATTCTATAATGGAGAATCATAGTGAAATTACTGAAAGCAATAAAATGGCAGATAAATTTCTTGATTACTATTGTAATATAGGAAAAAATCTCAGTAAAAAAATAGTTGAGAATAATTATGTTTCCGCCGTTATTATTAAAGACAATCATTTAGCTCTGCTGGAGCCCCTGAAGTATATTGTAAATTTAGTTCTTGCAACAGGTGTCTACCCCAGTGTTCTTAAAAACTCCATTATAACTCCTGTATTCAAGACTGGTGATAGACGAAAAGTTGAGAATTATCGACCTATTGCGATCACTAGTACGGTGAATAAATTATTGGAAAAGTGTATCAAAATCAAATTAGAAAAACATCTAGAAGATATAAATTTTCTATCAAACAGTCAATTTGGTTTTCGAAGTAAGATGTGTACTGAGGATGCTATCCAACTTGTAACAGAGAAGATACTGAACAATTTTGACCAGGGTTACAAAACTATTGGTATTTTTATTGACCTAGCAAGGGCTTTTGACACTGTGGCACATCACATTTTGCTGCGAATACTAAGTGAAATAGGTGTAAGAGGAACAGAGTTATCACTATTCCAGTCATATTTAAGTAATCGAACTCAGCAAGTCAAGGTAAATAATTTCATTGGGGAAAAGGGAACTGTAGAATGTGGTGTGCCGCAGGGTACAGTCCTCGGACCGCTATTATTTGTGATATATATAAATAATCTTACAAGAATTTTACCAGAAATAAATGGCTCGGTGATCTGTTATGCTGACGACTCTGTGATTTTGGTAAAAGCCAAAACATGGGAAGAAACACGTACGCTGGCAGAAAAATATGTTTCAATGGTCGGATTATGGCTGGATCAGCATCTCTTAACACTAAATAACAGTAAAACTCATTTTATAAATTTTTCTATGTACAACATAAAGCAGGATGAACCAGCAAAATTAACAATACATAATTATAACTGCTATTCTAAAGAAATGGCAGATTGTAGATGCACAGCTGAAATCTCGTCTGTAGCTTGTCTGAAATACCTTGGAGTTTGCATTGATAAGAACCTGAAGTATAATGTGCACATTGATTACATAACTAAAAAGATCAGGAAAACAATTTATAAATTCTACCAACTCCGTGAATTCATGCCTTATGCACTTTTGAAAATAGTTTACCAAGCCCTGATTGAATCTACTTTGAATTATGGCATAAGAATCTGGGGTGGCGCGTGTGGCACGGTTTTGTCGAACTTGATGGTTACCCAGAAATATATTCTCAAGATAATAAAAAGGAAGCCAAAAAGATACCCTTCAATTAATTTGTTTGTTGAGAGTGAAGTTTTGACGATAAGAGAGCTCTATCTGAAAAAAACATTGCATTATATGCAAAATAAAAATACATACAAAACTGTTCCGGTGGGTCTTCACAATACAAGATCTATAACATGGGAACACGTTTGTTCAAGCAGGGTAAATTTCACAGCCTGTCAACGTCATATTTCATATGTGGGACCAAGAGTTTTTAATCTTCTACCTCTAGAATATAAGCATATTAGGAGAAAAAAGGTGTTCGATTTGAAAATGGTTGAATGGTTAAAACGTAGTCAAGACCTCATTGTACGGAACTTACCTTTTTTAAAAATATAAAAATAAATTAATGTAATACAATATCCTAATGAATTCCCATTGGTTTCAATTTTCCGAAGAAAAGTGAAAAATTTTTAGAATATGTTCAATGTTTGCCTTTTGAAAGTTTCATGCTATTGTAGTAATTGTAATTTATGATGAATGTAGAGTTGTAAGTAATATATTACTAACTATATCTACCAATTGTACCTACTTGCAAAAAGTATATCTATATGGGTAAAAGACTGAGACCCGACAAGTCACCTGTGACTTAGGGTACTAACAGTTCTAATGCTATACTAAGTTATTAATAAAAGGGGCATGAGTATAAGTTTAAGTTTAGCATAGTTTTTTTCAAAGACTTTATAGTATGTAAATAACGGGTTTTTTGCTTATAACATGTATACTTATATGCCATTCTGTAATATATTTCATTTCATTTCATTTCATTTCATTTCATTTCTAGATATTCATTAATCATAAACCTAAAAAATAGTATATTGTTGTATTAGGAGTAGAAGCTTTACTTTTTGGTGCTAAAGCAGTAGGTTTGCGAGCCGAACGTAGTGAGGCTTGCAATACTGCTGAAGCACAAAAAAGTGCTTCTACTCCGTATGCAACACGCTATTTTTTCTCCAAACGAATGTGGTAAGCTCGGGGGTAACTGGATGGTTGAGCGGCAGTAAAAGTACAAGCGGCACTAAAAGTACTTTTACTGCCGCTCCAGCGGCACCAAAAGTACTTTTGCTGCCGCTGGGGTTGCCAAGCAGCATAGAAATTAAATTTCTACCACCTCGACAGGTGTTAACCTCCTGGATTTGCCTAGCAACATATAAATTGAATTTCTACCATCTTGACAGGTGTTGACAAAGTGATGTTTTTTTGACGTTTGGAGAAAAACGTAATTTAGTTAGATTTTGAAATTTCAATAGATATAAGGTGGGATAAAAATTCAGACTAATAGGTACAAACATAAGTATTATGCTAATTTATTAGTAGATAAAATATTTTTTCTCCAAACGTCAGAAAAACGTCACTTTGTTAACCCCTGTCAAGATGTCAGAAATTTGATTTCTATGCTGCTAGGCAAATCCAGTGGGTAATACCTGTCGAGGTGGTAGAAATTTAATTTCTATGCTGCTTGGCAACCCCAGCGGCAGCAAAAGTACTTTTAGTGCCGCTGGAGCGGCAGTAGAAGTACTTTTAGTGCCGCTCGTACTTTAAGTGCCGCTCGTACTTTTGCTGCCGCTCAACCATTCACTTGCCCACGAGCTTACCCCATTCGTTTGGAGAAAAAATAGCGTGTTGCATACGGAGTAGAAGCACTTTTTTGTGCTTCAGCAGTATTGCAAGCCTCACTACGTTCGGCTCGCAAACCTACCGCTTCAGCACAAAAAAGTAAAGCTTCTACTCCTAATACAACAATATACTATTTTTATAATTCATACATGTTACTTTACTAACTTAAATGTAGTTTTTTAAACTACATTGAAAAACACAAAGGGGCGATGCGCTGATTAATAATTCATCACGAATGATTATTGGAACTTTGAAGCTTCTCATCCAAGAGTTTTAATATGTGTTCCTTCAAATCGCCTCTTCTCTTGAAGTTTGTATTGCGAATGTTGCATTTAAAATTCTTCTCATCCGAGCGTGTTAATGTGTGGATTTTCAAATTACCTTTCTGTTCCAATTTTGCATTGCAAATGAGACATTCAAATAGATAAATATTCGAATGTGATTGTTTGTGTCTCTTCAAATAGTCTTTTCCTTTAAATTTTGCTTTGCAAATGTCACATTCAAAAGGATGAATATCCGAGTGTGTTAAATGAGCCTATTCAAATTACATTTGTGTTTAAATTTTACATTACATATTTTGTATTTAAAATTCTTCTCATCCAAGTTTGTTAATATGTGGCTTCTCAAATTACCTTTTTGTTTAAACTTTGTATTTCAAGTATCACATTCAAATGGATTATTATCCAAATGTTTTATTTTGGGAATTTTCAAACCGATTTTGCGTTTAAATTTTGATTTGCATGTTTCACATTCAAAAGG